TACTTGCTGAATCTGTAGATGTCGCAGCATTTTAATACTCTCATGCTATGATCTCCTCCGATATTATGCTGAGTTGTTCCCATCTCCTCCAGCTGCCCGACGACTTCTCATTTTCCACTGTTGTCAACACCTGCACAGTGAACGTCTTTGTACGAAACCCAGTCTTTGTCTGATTCTTTGCCCTTGACTGGGAATTCAGGGACAGACCCCTGGAGGAGATGGGTTGAGGGCCTCAAGGGCACCTTTGGGAGTCTTCACCCCTCTTCTTCCTCCTAGCCCCACAGCCACGTGCCTGTGAGCTGCGAGGAGCTTCCCCAGGCCGCCAGTCTTCCGACCAGTGGCCTCTCCTGCAACGTGAGCAATCCCATCTTTAAAGCAGGCAGCTCGGTGAGTGCCCAGGGTCCCTCAGCGCCAAGCAGCCAAGGGACAGTGAGCTGGCAGAGAGCAGGGGAGCCCCTGGCCTGGGGAAGGGCTTCAGGGGACTGGCAAGGAAGGGCTCGCCCAGCCCTCTGCCCCCGAGAGGAAGGTTGCCAGCCATGTGTTTTTGGAATCAGACCCACCTGAGCGTGGTTTATTGACTCTGTTTCTCCAGCTGCACAGTGGGAATGAAAGCCCAGCCCAGGGCTTGAGATGTTAATGGAAATGGTTACTGTGGAGACTGGGGGGGGTGGGTGACGGTGAGATATTGGGGCGCCCGAGCCCCAGGAACCTCCCCTCCTAAATGCCCTCTCCGTCCTGGTCAGGTTGTCGTCCAGGTGAGGTTCCATACACTGCTCAACAGCTCTTGGGGGGACCTGCTGGAACTGCAAGCCAACGTGACCTGGTGAGGCTCCCGTCCACGCCCCTCCCTAGGCTCAGATGGCCATGCCCATCCCAGCCACGCCTGTCGTCTAACGCTGACCTCTCCCTTGCTCTGGCAGTGACAACGAGGATTCGGGCTTCCTGCAGGACAACATGGCCACCACCAGCATCCCAGTCCTGTACCCCATCAATATCCTCATCGAAGAGTGAGTCCTGCCCGGCAGCTGCCCAGCCTCCTCCTCCCACCCACCGCCCCTCGAGCCCCTTTGCTGTCCTGGAGTCGAGTCTCCAGGGCGTCATTGGGACCCACCCAGTCACCACCCCCACAGCCTCCCACACTCAAAGGAGTGAAGACCCTTTAAGGGTGTTGTCAGGTCAACCTTGTCAGGTGGAAACAAAATCATCAAATCATTGATGCCTTAGGTCGGCGCCAGCTTCACTGCAGGGCGGCCTTCAATGGCTCTTCCAACAGCTCCCCCGTGAGCCAGCCGGGCCTCCCTGCCATTTCACTCACGGGGCAAAAGGAGACTGAGAAGGGGGAGACACTTGGCCCCTTTCACACAGCTAGGATGTACTGACGTCAGCGTTTGAACTTACGCTTGTCATGCCCCCCAAACCCCAGAAGAGCTCTGTTCTTGGCGGTTCTAGAAGAGCTACGAGTAAAGGGTTCACCTTGGGCCTGGTGTGCCGGGAGCTGACAGTCAGGCTGGAGGGGCAAACTCAGCACAAGCACCATGTGGCTCTCAGAAGGTTGTGACAAGAAGGGGCACAGGGCTGTGGCAGAGTCACTCTTTCAAGGTGCCCAGAGAGCTGAGCCCAGGGGACAGTATCCACGTCCGGTGCTCCAGCACTTTGAGATAAATGCCAACAGAAGGACCTGAGACCGGAGCCCAGAAAGACGCGTGCGGGTCAGAGAAGAGAGGGAAGGGCCACGGGCCTCGGCTCTGGGGGATGGGGGCGTGGGCATCAGGGCCAGGAGGGAGGGCGACCATTCTGGTCAGAGAGAATACCTTAGGCAGAGGCATGGAGACAGCGGCGGCGTAGATCTGAGGAGCTGAGCGGGCAGGCTCGGCAAAGGGTGAGTGTGTGAAGGGAGTCGTGAGAAAGCAGCTTAGGAAATGGGTGGGTCCAGACCTGGGAGAGCGGGGACCTGACCCTGTGGGCAGCAGGGAGCCACTGGGGGGTTCTGCATAGGTGAGTGACAGGGTCAGGTGAGTGGCCTCATGCGTGAGGTCAGTCTAGCTGTGTCCTGGGTGTGAATATCTAAGAGCCGAGCAGTGAGGCCCAGGCTCCAGCAGTGGAGCTGGAAGGTGACGTGGGGAGAGGACAGGTGCCACACCTGTTCCACTATGGGCCGGGGAGGGCTGCCGTGAGCCCAGTTTCCATGGGGAGACATCATTGCTGTCAGGATTACAGGGGGCCAGGCAGAGGGCCAAGGCCAGGCCCTCGGGCAGACTGTCCCGCGGCCTTCCTCACTTTCTGTCCGACTCTCCTTTCCCTTCACAGCCAGGAGGACTCCACCCTCTACATCAGTTTCACGCCCAAAGGTCCCAAGACTCAGCACGTCAAACACATCTACCAGGTAGGAGCCTCCGTGTGAACAGGTTCTTCGGGGCCAGGCCTCTTCTGGAGAGTGGGGATGCAGAGACTGGCCAGACCCGGGCTCATTCGCCTCCAGCCAGGGCCTCCACCCCATTCTGTGGTCCTGTCTCTGTAGTGTCCTGCCTCCCTTAAGTGCTTCCCACTCACTCCCAGCCACCCTGGGATAGACCAGAGGTTCCCAAACTAATTTGGCCTACTTCTCCCTTCACAGAAAAAAAAAAAAAAGCCCAGTGGTTCTCAACGTTTCTCATCCTGTGACCCTTGAATACAGTTCCTCATGTGGTGGTGACCCCCAACGATAAAATGATTGTTGTTGCTACTTCATCACTGTCATTTTGCTACTGTGATGAATCGGGCAACTCCTGTGAAAGGGCCGTTCGACCCCCAAAGGGGTCACGACCCACAGGTTGAGAACCGCTGACTTAGCCCTTTCCTGGTGATGGAAAACGTTGGTACTCTAGCCCATAATCCATGATAAAGTGTAGGCATCTGCTTCTTGGATCCTTCCAGTGCCCCCCTGGCGGGGGGTGTGCCCCGCGTCGGGAACACTAGGACGGATGATTTCTGGAATCACAGAACGCTTGCAGCAGGAAGATCTCGGAAGGCTCCCCGTGTGTGCTGTTTCACTGTGCTGGCACATGACACCCCCAAAGTGACCCGATGGACCTCTTTGAAGTGCCTTCGGTAGCAGGAATCACACTCACCGTGTTGGGCAACCACCCCCGCTGTCTAGTTTGTCCTCCCCGCACAAAACAGACCCACCGAGCCATGCATTTTATCGCCTGTTTTCCAAGCACCTGGTAGTAACCTCACGTCTGTTTTCCGTCGTGATGAAGTTGCCTGGTCTAGATAGTTCGTACAAATAGGGACATACAATCATTGTTCTTTTGGGCCTGCCTGCTTTCACTGAGCATAGCGCTTTCAAGGGAGCCCACTGGCCTCAGTGGGCTGCCAAACGCAAGGTCAGCCGTTCAAGACCACCTGCCGCTCCTCCAGAGCAAGATGGGACTTTCTACTCCCGTAAAGAGTTGCAGTCTTGGAAACCCACAGGGGGAGCCCTACCCTGTGGAACCAGAGTCAAGGCCAATGGTAGAGTGAGCTTGGTTTTAGAGTGGCGTTGGGGGATGGGGATAGGGGTAGGGATGTGGGAAGGACTCTGGGCAGCGCAAAGTTCGCACTCAATGATGAACTGGAAAGTTGGCAGTCAGCCCCACCCACCAGCACCGAGGAGAAAGACTTGGCCAGAATTCTGCTGCGTAAAGCCCGTACGTAGAGCGTGCCTCGCTGGCAGTCCTTTGGGCTTGGTTTTCAGCGGGATAACATGGTCCTCCAGGTGGTCTAGCCCTGCGTGTCCCTGAGATGCTGGGCATCTTTCCAGGTGCGCGCTGGCCCACTGTTCGTCTTCTTTGGCAGAATGCCTACCTGTGTCCTCTGCCCATTCTGCACTTGAGTGGTCTGCCTTTTGGTGGTTGATTGTAAGCGTTCGTTACATATTCCAAGGAGCCCTGGTGGTGGCGCGGGTTACCCACTGGGCTACTAACCTCAAGGTCAGCAGTTTGAAACCGCCACCCGCCCCTCAGGAGAAAGATGAGGCTTTGTGCTCCTGTAAAGTTCTCCGGCTTGGGAAACGCACAGGGGCAGCTCTGCACTGTCCTGTGGAGTCGCCGTGAGTCGGAACGGCAGTGAGTCGTGTTTCCTGCATTCTCTGGGTATCAGACCCCTATCAGTGGACAGCTTGGGGGTTGCCTTCGCTTCCTGATACAGTCCTTTCATCTGCTTGGTCCGGGGTGCTTTGGGCGTCAGATCGAGAGAACCTCGTTGTTTTTCTTCAAATATTGAATGGGACGCTCTTCGGTGTAGGCACCTGCCCTGCTAGCTGCTGGAGGCAGAACTCACCGACAGGGGGTCCACCCACCTGGAATCATAGACGTAGCCTTCCCAGACACCACCCCGAGTCTGGGACTCTGTGCCTGGTGCTTTAGGGACGTCATCCCCAGTGAGTCTCCCACCACCCGGGGTAGTTCTCGTATGATAGGTGTGGTCGTGGCATTCTTCACGGAAGACATCGGTGGCACAGGCCGGGTGAGGCATCTACTCGGCTTGCACAGCGATCCCAGAAACCACTTCAGTGAACGCCAGGCACTCCCCTGCCTTCCCCGCAGGGGCTCCTGGGGAACTACCACCCTCCCCAAGCCACCAAGTCCCCTCGGAGAGGGGAGTGGATGTGGGCCAAGTCCAGAACATTGCATTTTCCCAGGGAGGGCACGGAGAACCCCAAAGGGGAACTGATTCCCTGGAGGCCACCCTGGAAGCAGGGCTCTGGGGGAAGGAGCCCAGCAGCAGAGTGGCCCTATCAGTGGGGTGACTTCAGAACAGGGCTGCCTCCTTCCCCCGAGAATATTGAGGGGCTTAGAACTTCATGCGCATGGAGAGAGACGATGTCAGAGCACCAGTTGAGTCACTCCCCGGCTGTTCACCGTGGGGCCCTGGGTGCCTTGCAGAGGTGAGCCAGGTAGGTCCTCGGCCCCCCAGAGCCGCGGCAAAGAGTCCGACAGGCCTGGATCCAAAGGCCTGCTCAGCTGTGAGCTGTCTGTCGCTGCCTCTGTTCCCACCTAAGCAACAAACAGAAGCAAGCCGACTGCTGGCACCCCGTATGTTTCAGAGCTGAACTGCATGTGATCGGGTTTCTGCGGCTGTGACTCTGCAGAAGCAGGACGCCAGGCCTTTCTTCTGAGCCACCTCTGGGTGGATTTGAACCGTCGACCTTTCGGTTAGTGGTCAAGTGTGTAGCCAACCAGTCAGGCCACCCCGGGACTCCTGTTGTTATTGTCGTCGTTGTTGATAGGGGTCATTGAGGTGATCCCGACCCATGGCTGGACAATCTTTCCGTGCGGACATCTATGCAGGGATATAGGCGGCTATACCACAGTTTGCCCATCCATTCATTTATTGGTAGACATTTGGCCTATTTCCATCTTTTGGCTCTTGGGAATCGTGCTGCTATGAACATGCACGTGCTTGTACACCTGTTTAAACACCCGTTTTCCGTTCTCTGGGGCACAGGTGTAGGAGTAGACTTGCCCAGTCATACGCTACAATTCCATTTCGGGTTGATATGAGTCAGCCCTGCCGCAAAGGCACCTGCGGTTAGCCTTTGGAGAAACAGCCAGACTGTTGCCCACAGTAGCCACCGACTCCACCTTCCCACCAGCAATGTTCTGGGCTTCCGGTTCCCCACACCAGCACTAGCACCTGCTGCTTCCTGGGGTATTTTTATTTGTTTGTTTATTTTATTTTAGTCGTCTTCCAAAACCAAGCTCACTGCCATCGAATCCATTCCGACGCGTAGCGTCCCTCTAGGACAGGGCTTTTGGTAAGCGTAAGAAATTGTAACTCTTGGGAGTCGATCGCAAGGATCGACAGATAATCCCCTCCCAGGGGTACGAGCAACAGAAAAGTGGGTGAAGGGAGACAGCGGACAATGTAAGAGATGAAAATAATAGTTTATAATTCATCAAGGGTTCATGAGGGAGGGCGGATGGGGGGGCGAGAAGGAAGGAAAAAACGAGGCACTGATATTAAGGGCTGAAGTAGAAAAGAAAATGCTTTGAAATTGATGATGGCAGCCTATGTACAGATGTGCTTGACACGGTGGATGAATGTATGGATTGTGATAGGAGCTGTAAGAGCCCCCAATAAAAGTATTTAATTTAAAAAATAAATGAAAGAAATTGTAACTCTTCCCAGGAATAGATAGCCTGTCTTCTGCCGTGGACCAGCTGGCGGCGACCAAATGCTGACCTTGTGGTGAGCAGCCCACGCATCACCACTGTGCCACCTGGGCGGGGTAGAGTGGGACCTCACTGTGGTTTTGATTTGCATAGAATTGTTCTTCTTGATGCTTTCTTGGAAACGTGTTCGAAAACAAACTTCTAATGTTCCCCTGGGGCCGGCATCTCTCCTGGATATTCTGGTGACGGTCTTCCTCACGCCTCACCCGTCGCCTCCTCAAATCCTGCTGCGTGTTCCCTTCTCCTCGGTGCCTCGGGCACCACGCTCACCTTCTTGACCCTGGACCATTGGGATGAGCTTTCGGTTTTGGCCATGAGTCCTCTTTCCCAGCTTCTGTGTCCCGTGCCTGCAGTGGACCCAGCTCCCTGGAGCCACCTCCTTCCTCAGCTCCGTTCCTTAGCTCCCGGATGCCTGGTACATGATGCTCCACTCTTTGCCCTTGGACTTTCCAAACCTCCCAGAGTAACCCCAGTCCTCCTGTCCAGCCCCGTCTTGCCCTCTCCTTCCCAGACACCCTCTGCCCCCCAGCCCCACGGCGCCCTCTCTGCCGCGCTGTCTCTCTCTGCGTGCACTCCTCCGTCTCCACCCTTGGAGAACCTGTCTGCGTTTCGCCGCTCACTTCAGACGCTGCCTCCTCGCTCATCTGTTCTTAGTTGCCAACAAGTGGATTCTGACGCCTGGCACCCCTCTCTGTGTGTCAGGGTGGGATCACTCCATGGGGTTCTCAAGGTTCCTTATCTTTCGGAAGTAGGTTGCTAGGCCTTTCTTGTGAGGTGCGTCTGGTCAGGTTCCATGCACTCACCTGTCAGTTAGTGGTCAAGCCCTGAACTCTTTGTAACACGCAGGGACCCCCGTCCGCTCTTCTGCTAAAAATCAAACAAACAAACAAACCCATTGCCATGGGTTGACCTTGACTCATAGCAACTCTGTAGGACAGAGAAGAAGGGCCAAGGCTGTATGTCTTTGTGGGAGCAGAAAGCCTCATCTTTCTGCCCCCGAAACAGCAGGTGGATCTGAACTGCTGACTTTGTGGTTAGCCATCCAATGTGGAAACAAACCACCGGGCCTTTTTAATTTAATCGGTGTCCTTCAAATGTCTCCAATGCTTGTTGAGTTCATCAACGAGAACTCAAAACATAGATAAATAAATACCCAAACACTTCACCACCATGGAGCCCATTCTGACTCCGGAGACCCCACAGGGCAGGGTGGGACGGCCCCTGTGAGTCCCCGAGAATATCACTCTTGTTGTTGTTGTTGTCTTAAATAGTTCTGTTGGCGGATGCTTCACGTAGCGTACCATTTAATCGTTCGATCGTGCTAAGGAGATTTGTGCAGGCATCCCCCAAATCAGTTTCAGAACATTGTCTTCACAGACTCATCGCTGTTAGCTGAGACGAGTGCTCTTTATGGGAGGAGAAAGCCTCGTCTTTCTCCCTGGGTGTGACCGGTGGTTTCAAACCGCTGACCTTGCAGTTAGCAGCCCAGCTGGTAACCACTCTGCCGCAGGGATCCTCATTGCTGGAAAGGCATTGGAGAATGTTTGTTTAGTAAATTCAAATGCATGATTGCCAAACGGAGGCTTTCCCAACCTGTGTGGTGCAAATAATGCTTACAACATAAAAAATACAAAGGCCCCCTCTGCACCCAAAGGGCTCTCAGGCCCTTAATCTCTGCCTACGCTGGACTGGACAGCTAGATCACACTTACACCACGAGGCTGGTGGGTTTGAACCAGTGCCCCTGCAGTTAGTCAACAAGCAGCTAACTAACTACTCCAGCACCGGCACAAACCAAATCCCCTGCTACTGAGTCAACCCTGAGTCATCGGGACCCTCTAGGACAGAGTGGAAGTGCTCCTGAGGGTTTCCACGATGGTGACTCATTAAGGGAGCACACAGTCTCATTTTTTCCCCCACAGAGGAGCTGGTGTGTTTGAACTGCCAACCTTGCTGGTCACAGTTCAGTCCTTTACCCACGTGCCACCAGGACACCCACCACCATCCAGCCCATGCCGACTCACAGTGGCCCTTTAGGATGGGTAGAACTGCCCCTGTGGGTTTCTGAGACTAAACCTCTTTATGGGAGTAGAAACCCCCCTTTTCTCCCTGGACGCAGCTGGTGGTTTCGAACCACTGACCTTGCAGTGAACAGTCCAGCGTATGACCACGACACCACAGGGCTCCTTCTGTGCCACCAGGGGACCGTTGGCTGCGTTTGGTTGGACCGTTGACTGCCATTCATCCACAAAACTGCTTGAGTCTTCTCACTTGCTAAATCCTCAAGGTCTGTAGTTCAAAACCACCAGGCTCCTTGTGGAAGAAAGACGAGTTACAATCTCAGAAACTCACGGGGCAGTTCCACCTGGTCCTATAGGGTCCCGACGAGGAGACGCCGACTCTCAGTGTTTGGTCTGGGGTGAGTTGGGACTCTGGGGGCTGGCGTGTAGCGCTCTGCAGTCTCATGCTATCTGCTCAGGTGAGGATTCAGCCTTCTCTCCATGACCACCACTTGCCCACCCTGGAGGCCTTGGTTGGGGTACCCCAGTCTCACAGCAAGGGGCCCATCACACAGAAGTGGAGGGTGGAGATGGTGAGTACTGCCCGGGAGGAGCTTGGATCTGTGAGCGGTGGGCTCAGAAATGGGTGCAGATGGGAGGGAGGGTTAGGTGTGTGGGAACGGGGAGAGGTTGGATGGAGCCTGTAGGACTTGGTGCCGTCTGAATCCACAAAGGGAGGAGATCTGGGATGTCCAGGTCTTATCTGGACTGGGGACAAGGAATGCCAGGCGCTGACCTCCAGGGGCCAGTGTCTTCTCTCAGCTCTGGACTAACCAATGCGCCCACCCATCACTCTTAGGAGCCTCCTGTCACCTGCCACCCTGAGTCTCTGAAGATGCTGCCCAGTGCCAGTGAGGCGCAGGTATGTGGGAGAAGTTAGGCCTGGGTGGGAGGGGGTCGAGGGGCCGGGCCGGGCTCCTCAGACCCCTCTGCTCTTCCTTGTCCACATCAGGCCTGCCTCCCAGAAGCCGAGCTCCGCTGCCCGGTCGTCTTCAAGCGGGAGACCCTCGTCACTGTAGCTGGAGAGTTTGAGCTGGTGGGAGAGATCGAGGTAACACTGCCGTGCTCACGGAGATGCCGCGGCGGTTGGGCTCCCCTCTCCCCGTTGTTTCTCTTTCTATCCCGGTGAAAAACCCCGACGCCTACACAGTTGCCGATGAAACCGAAGGGCGGTTTGTTGAACACGTGCAGGTCTCTTGTCGTGGGTTTGTGGGCAGCTCCTACGTGTCAGCACATAGAAACAGGACTTTCTTCTGCACCGGCGAGGGGCACAAGAGAAAGAGACAGCGGGACTTGAACAGAGGCCATGTGCCCCGCACTGGGGTTCCTTCTCTTCGGCGACTTCCCCGTAGAGACAAGGCCCTGGGTCCTGTTCTCCACGACGCTGATGCCCGCCCGCCCTCTCCTGCAGGCCTCCTCCATGGTCAGCCTCTGCAGTTCCCTCTCCATCTCCTTCAATAGCAGCAAGCACTTCCACCTCTACGGCAAGGCCTCCTCAGCCCAGGTACCTCCCCCAGGGCACAGGCAGCCGCGGGGGGTGGGGGGGACCCCCGGCGGGGCTGAGTCCACATAGGAACTGCCCAACAACAGGAGCCGTCCCTGTTCAAGACGCCTCTTTGAAAGGGAGCCAATGATTCCAGACACCGGGAGGCCGCCTGTGTGAGAGGTGGTCAACTTGGGTGTCCAGCGAAGATCAATCCCTCCTCAACAAAGGGTCCCGGCCCCCCAGTCAGGGAGGAAAGAGCTGGGAGAGGTGTGCGGGGGAGCAGCGAGGGCGGGCAAGATGGGGGACGTTCTGAGGGGCGGGAGCCAGAGCAGGAGCCAGGGAGATGGAGCTAGAAAGGTAAGCAGAATGGTTCTGGGAGGCTTTGACTGCCGAGCTGAGACTCTGAATCAGTGGTTCTCAACCTTCCTCAGGTTGGGGTGACCCCCAACCATAAAGTTACTTTCCTGGCTCCTTCCTCACTGTCATTTTGCTACTGTGATGAATTGTCGTGTCAATATCTGCTAGGCAGGATGTATTTTCATGGTTACAAATTGAACCTCATGAAAGCATCGTGATGAATCACAAAACAGTATGTCATTCTATATTGTGAACTAGTTATGTGTTTTCTGATGGGCTTAGGCGACCCCTGTGAAAGAGTCTTTCGACCCCCAAAGGGGTCGCGACCCTCAGGTTGAGAACCGCTGTCTAGAGCTTTCATAGGCCGCTAAGGGTGAGCCAGGTAAGGGCTCAAAGTAGATCACGGGGAGTTTATGTTGGGCCACTGGGGGACTGCCGTGGAGGGAGAGGGACAGGGGTCTGTGACAGTCCAGGTGGGCCACGACAACCCAAGGGCTGGGAGCGGGCGTCAACGGAGATGTCAGCATCCAGGACACCTCCGTGGCCTCCCTCTCCCCTCCTCCCAGGTCATCATGAAGGTGGACGTCCTATTCCAGAAGGACATGCTCTACGTCCACGTGCTGAGTGGCCTCGGGGGGCTGCTGCTACTGCTGCTGATTTTCCTGGTGCTGTACAAGGTGGGTGCCGCTGCGGATTAAGCGGCCGGTAGATAACCAACCGGCCAGTTGCTGGTTCGGGCCCACCAGGGGTGCAGCAGGAGAACACGGAAGTCGTTTGCCACCAGACAGATTCACAGCCGTGCAACTCTCAGATTAGACTCCACCAGCAGGGTGGGGTTTGTGTTGATACCAAGTAGGAGCTTGTGTCCGTACCAGCTGTGAGACAAAGACGGCCCTGAGGGAGCACGAGAACTGACCAGAGCCGGAGAGCAGGATCCAAGGACCAGGGAGGCCTGAGCACCAAGGGCCTCCCCCAACCTCCTCCTCCTTCCGCGAAGGCTCCTGAGCCCCAGAGAGCGAGAGAGACTTTTCCACCAGCACTCGGCAAAGTCCTGACAGAGCCCAGGCTGGGTACCAACGGAGAGGGAACCAAGCCAAGCTGACCGACATCGAGTCCATGCCGACTCCCAGCCACCCTCTAGGACAGGGCAGAACTGCCCTGTGGGTTTCCAAGACCGGGACTCTTGACGGGAGTTGGAAGCCTCATCTTTCTCCCAAGGAGCTGACTGGTGGTTTCGAACTGCTGACCTTGCAGTTAGCAGCCTACTGTGTAACCATTATGCCCCCAGGACTCCTAAGGGAGAGGAAGAGATTCCCTTATAATTCAGTGTCTCCTGTCTGCCAGGCACTGTTAGACAGAGGTACACATGATAAGCATGGTCCCTCTCTTGGTAGAGCCCACAGTAGGGGCGGGTGGGGCATATGCATGATGAGGATTACCAAAAGGAGCCTATGTGCCCTGGAGCCTGGCACAGAAGGACTAGCCTAGGCTGAGCCGACCCAGGAAGGCATCCAGGGGAAGGGGCATTTGAAGGGTAAGAAGTCAGCCAAGAGAAGAGTAGGGGTCAGGCGCTGCCTGCCAAAGACCCAAACGTTACAGAAAATCAAAGTATTCTCCCTGCTGCATTTCTAGAGATGGTCATTAACTGTCCTTTTGTCTCTGGTCCTCCAGGTCTGAAGGTTTTTGTAACATGAACCAGGGGGAAAATCCCATTATTTTCCATTCCACTTCTCCAGGAGCTTTTTGAAACCCCTTCTAAATCTGTGCCACAGAAAGTCAATTTATGTGTAAATATTTGGAAAACAAAAGTTGGATATACGATCTTGCTTAGGACTTTCCACTTGATATTCTGTATATATGTGAGCCAACTTGTGCTATTTGGTTTTTAAAATCGCTTTATTGACATATGCTCATATATCATACAATTCAGTACCCAACAAAAACCCCACTAAACTCTGCCATTGGTTCAAAGCTAACTGATCACAACGCCCCTGCGGGCTGCGGATACTATCACTGTTCACAGGAGTAGAAAGCCCAGTCCTTCTCCCTCGGAGCTGGGGGTGGTTTCAAACTGCCAACCATGCAGATCACAGCCCAACCCGTCACCACTACACCACCAGGCCTCCTTATACAATTTGATGGTTCGGTCCTATTACCTGAAAGGGTTGTACAATCATTATCACAATCGACTTTGGCACATTTTCTTCTTTCTTGTGCCCGTTGTTGTTGGCGCCCCACTTCCTCCCAACCACCCTTGCCACGCCCCTCCCAAAACAAAAACCAAACGACCCTCCCTGCTATGGGGTCCAGTCTGACTCATGGTGACCCTCCAGGACAGAGGCCAACTGCCCCTGTGACCGTAGAGCTCTTGCTGGGCTTGACCTTGCTCACAG